CAGACGGACACCTTAATTTGCAAATCACAATTACTCCTCTCTATCTATATGTGGCCATACACACATTCAAATTGATAAACGCAATGGAGTGTGATGTAATCGATCAGAATTGCAACGAAGCATGAACCTTGTTTTTTCTATGATAATAACATTTGCTGCGAACTTCGTTTTGCAGATAATAGTTTTCATCAATTGTTTAAGTTTCAGGCTACTTGACTCACCTATAAATACTGGCGATGTGGTAAACAGGCTCTTTCTGTGCATTAGATGTAGTAGGTTTCAATACGCTGCGATATCTTCATCAATATATGAATTTTAAAGGGTAACCGTTCTTCGTCATAGCTCAACATCCTCACTTCGTTTTCGATAGCGTCACTTGTACAAATACCTTCAATCCTATGGATTAGTCTTTATCAAACCCTGTTTGCGTTGAACAAGACAATAAGTATAATATCTGACCTGTGCAAGTCTGCCTCCTTAAAAATTGATCATTTGATTGAACCATGTTCTTGTCTCCTAATGTGAATTACTAGAGAAGGACGCTGGTTGTTCTTCTCCTCTACACACGAAACACTGATGAGGTTTTAATGAGTGTTAAATTTAATCGAAAATTAGTCCATATTCCCCTTTTCATAACCAGTAACTAAGATATTACTCAGGTATCTCTTATAAGGGGAACTACTTTCAACGAGGTCTTCAGAATAATTTTCAACATGAGCCATAAACACGTCAGCGAATTACGGTGCTAATCGACTACCCATGACAAATCGTTAAGAATTTTTAAGGCAACAGGTAGTGTAAGGTTGTTCAAAGATTTATTCATATATGATATTGGCTGTCTTTTAAAAGTAAATATGTGTACAAGAAATTCCCATCAAAAGAACACATTGTTTTTTTCCTTGATACCAATATCGCCCAGACAATTCCTCAATTAACCATTTCTCCTGGTTATGTATAGATGACCGACATACTGATAAAATTGGGTGTGAAAGTATGTTTGATTTATAAATTCCAGATAATTCACATAATTGAGGATATTCAGAGACCATAGATTTAAAAATATTAAACTCCTCTCGATTAATACTATTTGCATATAACTGTTTCATCGTGTTTGAGTTTATTTTTCTCCCTAGTTTACAAAAAACGTTCAAATTTGACATCAGGCATAAATTTACTCGGTTTTTATCATGTTGTACAAAAGCAATCAAGGATAAACAGTAGGGTTTATTGAAGCCTTTGAAGCTATCAGGTTCAATATTCCATTATGTAATTAAAACTGATTCATTAACTGCTTTGGCTATGAAGTGTCTTGAGCTTTACATTGTTGTTCAGATAAATTTTTTCATATATATAAACGTTGATATCAAGTGGTAGGTATGTAATCAGACTTTTTGAAATATATTACACTAATATATATTCCATAGTTTTGATTAGCTTCCTCTTCGCCTAACACTATCGAAATCTATAAAAAGGACTAGTTGCTTTGAAAATTTATTCACTTTGATCAATATTCGTTTGCTGAATTAGACGTTCATTTTTAATCACATCAAATATTTTTTAAAAATTGACTGAGTATATGCAAATATGAGTTGTGAAAATATTCTTTAAGTATTCACAATTGATATTGGTTTTTGAATACAGTAAAGTTTTTTTTTCAATAGACCTCAATAATTCGCATAAAGCATTCTTCATGAAATAAAAGGATTATGGTTAGTAGTGGAATGTTTCATCCTGCTCGGAACTTGCCAGCTGGATGCACTTGCCACATTTCAGTGTTCTTGTTCATAGCAGGTCTCGAATATAGTAGTTTTCGACTCAAATTCCAAAGCAGTTACCTACTGAGATATTGAGCTTACATTATAATCTACAATTCGCATAATACTTACTTTTCGTACTTGAGATAAACTGAAAATTCAGTCAATGGGAATCATTTTCTTATCAAAGTCGGTAAAGATTTTTTTGAATTTTCCTGTTGTCGGTATTCTAGACTGAAATTTTATCAATCTTTACTGGCATATGTACATGTATATATATATATATATCCTATGAGAATTACTCTAATTTGGTCATTTTATAAGTTGACTGTAACGAAATTTAAAATAGTGTTCGTAGTGGGATCTGAACCTAGTAAAAAATACCAGTAACAAGGTAATTCAAAACTGCAGTTGAAATTATTGTTGTGATCAATGTAACAGACTACTTACTTCATACTAATTAGAGTAAAAATCGAAACAAAGAATCAACTGATTATCATCGATAAAATCACGCTGCTATAACGATTGAAAAATCTATCTGTACATTGATGATTTTACAAATAATAATTGCGCGTTGAATGTTACTTATTTCTTATGTCTTCGCTCAGATCTATGCTTGTGAACAGTTTAAATTTTGTTAATTGAAAACACTGAATTTATGAATAATTACAAATTGCAAAAAGAAGATTAAAAAATTGTAAAATCTTAATATTTTTATCAGACGGTTGTGGAGATTGTTGAATTCCATTGAAATCATGAATCGATCAATGTTGGACCGCCATTAGAAACCTACAGGCACTGGACAGGTGTTTCATTCTAATTTGACAGGCAAGAATCGAGTTCAGAACCTTTGGTCTTGCCAGCAAACTCCTAATGAGCACTGCTGCCGAGCCTCATACTGGGACGAAATGGCCATCCAATGCTTCCAGGTTCCCGTTGGTGCTCCAACATTGACCGATTCGTGATTTCAACAAAAATAGCATAATACTCATATTATTTCACAATCATTCGACATATTGGCATAAATCTAATCTGTGATAACTGATGTGAAGGGGGAAAATGAATTACACGAAACAATCGGTTGCCCGAGACAATTCTTGTTTTCACATACAATTTCAACAGGACATATTGTTATGTGTTCGTGAAAAGAATTGCTTATTTCTAAATTATTTTAAAACCATTTGTATTTTATGCCGAAATTGTTTTTAACAAAGAATGTATACCTGAGTAAATCATTCAATTCAAACAGTATCTGTTCTTCAATTATCCACCTGTCAAAAATAAGGATAACTCGGATATTTTTTAGCTATCATCTCAGTTCCTTTTTAGGTGAATATAAATTATTATTTTATAGTTTAAACCACGGGATGATTTCATCTAGAATACCTTTGAAAACCTGGAGTCGCCGAACGACTGTTTTGTCCTAGTATGTAACTCCTCAACACTGCCCATCTACAACCCTAAAACCTGAAATCAAACCGACGAGTGAAAACATCCTTTCTATTATCCTACATAAAAATCATTGTTAATTTTGTGTGACATCAAATTAGCGAATAGACTGATATGTTTATTTGCAGCTTAACAAGCTTCTACAATAACATAGTTAGCCAAATTAAACCAATACATATTTAAACTAGTTCAGGGCATTGAAACGATATGCTTCTAGGTGACTTGACATTATAAAAGCATCGTCACCAACAGATTGGTGATAATAACTAGCAAGAATATTTGATTATATTCATGAAACATATGGTTCAAATGATATAACCAATTCAATAATTAACTAATGTACATATGACTTTATTTAAAAATTACTCCAGCACTAAATTTGTTTTTAACTATAGAATATTTAATCGTTTACATGTGTATCAACTAAGCTATTTTTAAGTTGCAGGTGCTTATATTTTAAAGTGATTATATAATAACCATGATATCTATAAATAAAAATGATTATTTCATTGTTTCGCAAATATCTTCATATCTTTCAAACGTTAAATTGCATTGAAATCATGGATCGATCATCGTTAGATGATCATTAAATACCTGGAAACACTGGACAGCCGTTTCGTCCTCGTATGGGATTCATCAGCAGTGCGTGCGCATGACCTCTACTTGAGGAAACAGAACCTAGGACCTTCGGTCGCTTGTGCGAACACAACTGTATAAAGAAAATCATAAAAATGTGCTCACTAATGACTAGCTTCGTGAGAAAATTCTTGGAGTTCTAGAGAGAAGCCGTTGCAAATGGAGTTCATCCCTGTTGGGTGCAGGCAATTACCTACAAAGGCGATGAGTGAGGTTGCTCAATACCTTGGACTAATCAAATTTAGACATTAATACCATACAAATTTATTTGTCATTCAACAGTTCCTATGTAATTTTAATTATAATCTTTATAGTTTTCCATACACTTGAGTTTTTAGTTTTGAACAGGCTCAGGTTTTCCTTCAGCTCAACCTCATGATAAAATCCCTTACACCAGTCGCAATGTTACAGCTTGATCGATAAAATTCGATTAACACTGAAGATTAGACAAACTTGACATTAGACAATATTCAATGTTCAATCAGTTTTAAATATCTTTCAGTAAATAGAAACAACTTAAAATTTAAACTACTTTTTTCACACAGATTACTCGACTGCCTTTCATTGTGAATATCAAATATGACTTGATATCAGTGTCGATAATTCTGTTGACATAATATGTTTGTGATTTAATTAAGCCAACTAATAAATTTAAATCTTAGCTTGTGTTCAAGTGTTCAGTTATTTATTTACCATTACAATTGATTACTGTTTACTTTTAAGTTAAAAATTTTCTGAAAATATTGCAAATTTCAAGAAGTAGCTCCAAAAATTCGAGTCAGAAGTTATGATCAATAGAGTACAATCATCCTAGATCTTAGGTAAATCCACGGAAATGTCATCGGTAAACAGGAATTAAATAATTTTTAAATTGTAGATTAACTTAATGGCCTAGTAAACTTTAGTTATTCTAGATTTGACCTACTATGATAGAATCTCTAATAAATACTACTTGAAGAATTTAATCCTCTCTACTTTTCAATCATTCACCTAAATTAAGTCAGTTTGCAGTGTAAACAATCCGAAAACATCTTACTCTCTGCATACTATCAAATCGACTAGTTTAAACAAATCATCTGTTATTTACAAAAACTACTTACAAACAAAAAATAAAAAAAATGCATTCAACATAGAAAACTATTGCTTTAATATAAAACTTACTTCACTTGTACTTGGACGATAATATAATCCGGACATGGCTCATTTATTTATGTATTTATTATCTGTTCAATTATCAATGTTTCTTTTGAAAAAAGTATTCACTGTATTCTATTCAAACGTCCAATTATAACAATAATAATAATAATACCTCAAGTATATATTTATATGTATGTCTATATATAGTTAATTACAAGATCACGAAATCTCATACAAATGAAATCTTTTAATTCATTATTGAACATTGAATATGGTGTGTTTGAATGAACTATGCATATTATACATGTATTGAAATTATTCAATTATTCAATGTATCTCACAAAAGGGACACTTTGTTTTGCAAAAAAAAATAACAATAGACAATATCTTTTCCGTTTTTTCTATGTATCATAATTCAAATAGTAATTAACTAGTAATTGTATGATTATCATAATTATCATCATGATTATTATCCACTGATTATCATTATCGATATTTCCATCCATCAACGTTGAAAGAGAAAATTATCCATCGCTTTATTAAATCAAACTTTTATTGAAAATTTAATATACACAGATGTATAGGTATGTATATATTCAAATATAGAGTAATTTTGAAAATATCTTAAACGAAATCGGTCGCTATAGTAACTAGCGTTTTGTAGTTTTAAAGAAGAAATAACAACAACAACAACAAAGTAAGTAGTACTTTTTTCGTGTATTGTAGTGTATAAGCTAATTAGAAAGTAATTGGTAGTTGTTGATTAATTGTAATTTGTTCAGAGCAGTTTTGTGTGCACTAATAAGAATGACAAATAGTGAAATAGATAGAGACAAGGAGTTGATTATCGACAGTACATAAATATTTACACACAAAGTTTATCTCGGTAAAAACAACGTACAAAACGTACCATAGAAACACTGAAAAAATGGTAGGTGGAAGATAGTTAGGTGCTATTGTGAGTTAGCTGAAGTTAGTTAGATATGTACACCGATGGATAAAGGTCTAGAGATCAATTAGCTAATGGATAAGGTCAAAGTTCATGGGTTTGAATCCTTTGGGAGAAATCACGGCTCCGAACCATAACTGAGGAATCCCATACTAGGATAAAACAGCTTTCAATGCTTTCTGACTTATGATAATAGTCTAGCTGATATTAGTTCGTCGATTAAACTGTGAACAGTTTACAATCTTCACAAAGTTTACTCTATTTATAGTTTGATCACGAATATTTCAGAGAAGAGAACTTTCTTTTCAACTATATCATTTACTGAAAACTCAGTACTTCAATACATTAATTCTGTCCACGTTGCCTGTTGATAGAATCATTTTTTTAAATGTCTACACAAGCAAACAAATTGGAACGAATGGGGATAAGAAAAGAAAATCTATACAATGCAGACACTCTCGCTGACCATTACACTTCGCCTCAATTATTTTTTACTCAGAGTTCTCTGCAGAGTTCACTTATTATTATACCATTAAAATGTTGTATCGTTACTATTCATTTGAATGGTTTACTTTACAGACTGTTCATACCTTGACCGTATTTAAAGTCATATCAAGATAGTTCCATGGTATGGAGATGAAAATGACGGAACCACAACGACCATCATCAAAAAGATACAAGTATTTGTAAACAGTTGCGTACAAATGATACTACGAATCCATTGTCCAGACATTATTGGATGCAACGTACACTGGCAAAAAACAAACCAGCCTCCGAATGAGACGGCAATTAGAAAAAAAGGCTGGTTGTGAATATGAAATTCATTGTGGACATCGCTAACCTGTGTCACAAAGCAAATCTTAACTTGAACTCCCTAAAGCAAATAGAAAAGAGGCAGACTAATAAACAAATCACACCAAGAATCGAAGGTAGACATCAAATGAATAAATAGCTGAAAAGGACATCCTACGGTCGAGTAATCTGGAGCTTGCTTGTTGGTGGCTTATATTCCTTCCACGAGGCGCAACAGGTGTAAGTAAGTAAATAGTGAATACTGACAATTAGGAGTCCCATAACGGAACAAAATAGATGGGCAATATTTACAACATGTGAGCACAACAGAAAGGTAGAGATAAGCAACACGAAGTAAGAAAAGATCACGATTCGAAAAAGTATACACGATACCTAGATAGAAACAAACAAAAGTAATCAACATGAGTCAAAAACTGTGACACTTGATCATTATATGCTTAATAAGAACTAATGCTAAGATTTAATTCTCGAAGTACAAGTGAAAAGTTGTGACTGACGAAGTTCAACTATGTTGAAACTGAGACAAATATCACTAATAACACTAAGTGATGACTGTCGAAGATCACAAACTAACTGAAGTAATGAAATCTAAAGTACTAAATAGCAACTCAATAGTCTGAAATCTAAATGTTTGATCAACAGTATTAAGCGCCAGAATTCAACCCTTCATGAAGTATTGGAAGCATAGTGCCAGTAAAGAGTTTTAATCTAGGAAAACAAATAACTAACTGTTCAGCTCCTTCTTGTTTTTATTGATTGTTCAGAAAAAATTATTCTCTGATGTAAAACTTTAAATTATATATTTCAAATCATTGTGAATCTAATCAAATTACTTACTGTAATGTTTACAACATTTTAACTATACTCTTTACAATAAAAATTATTTATTCTAAACCAAATTCCATTCGTCTGTTTATATATCAAAAGAAATTTCGGAAATCTTTTATTACATAAATTTATTAAAATGTATATCTGCGTTCATTATCTATTCTACTTTCATTTTAGCGTAAAAAAAACACTGTTACACTGTTGACATTCTTCCCCTTGAATCCAACCTCCTTTCATATATATATATACCTTCCTTGTCAGACATTAGTTAAACAAAAACTGTCATTAAAACCAAAAATCTGATAGGAAATAAAAATATCAACTCTTAATATAAACCATTTTTTTTATTGAAAAAAAAATAAGAAAGTGGGGCAAAAGAGAGGAAAGACTAGGGGAACATTTAAACAAAATGTTAATGAAAATATATATAACACTTGAAAGTTGAATAAAATAAAGAAAAAAAAAGCAAACTATGTGAAATAAAAGTGAAGAAATTCAAGTTTTTTTTTATCATGCTGTCAGTAGTGTTAATGTGTGCTGTTATTTTACTAGACTATTAACATAAATAGTTATAAAATTATATTGTATCGAAATCTTTTTATCGATTCCTTAAAAATCAATATTTTTAATATTTTTGATCAATCTGACCAATGCTGATCTACGATTTTTTTTTCAACATTTACGATATTACTGTGTACTAGACTAAACAAATATAAATACTGATTGATCGTTACTAGATGGGCATTATTGAAAAGATGCTGATAGGTCTGTTGCCTGTGCTCTTGTTACTGACCTCTCCTCAGCCGAAGCCTATACCTTTAGACTGGTTATATTCTTTAAACTGAACAATCACATCCAAACAAGCTTTTATTCTAAGGTTAATCTATATTCAAAAAACCAAGTATATCTTTAGAGAGTTCCAGCTAATCGTGGTCTTTTTTATTATAGAGTTATGGAGATTGTTACTGATGACTGAAATCATGAATTCTTGGAATTCTAGTGAGAAGATATGACCAGTGGAGCTCAACTCTGTAGGGTGTAGAGAGAGTTACCTACCGAAGACAATGAGTGAGATAACGCGAAATATTTAGATCAGAGTTAAACATTAAAACCATCGCATGACAGCTCAGTGGTCCAGAGGTTAGGCATTCGCGAGCAAGACCTATGGTTCTAGGTTCGAATCCTGTGGGTAGCAGGAGTCATGGATGCGCACCGCGCACTAAGACGAAACAACCGTACAGTGCGTCCAAGTTCCTAGTCGTGGTCTAATGATGATTGATTCGTGATTTCAGTACTAACCTTGGTCTGCCAGGAACTTCCAGAATCATATTAACTACAGTAACTAAGAGTAACTATCCAACCAAAGGTGTCACATTATTCTTCATCTTTCTAGATGTTTCTAAATAGCTTGTTTTTAAATGACTAAACAAAATGCTTTTATCTCTTTTCTAGATTTTTCTAGATTTCTTCAATAGATATTTGTGATCTCGAGACCAAAGAACATTAGAACAACACAGATATAAGCGAACAATATTACTGTTTTCGATTAGATCGTCATCATCAGGCTTTACTCTAATTATACATGAATATTTATCATGAAAATGTTAAACCAATCAAGGCAATTCATGAGTAATGAAATGAAAAAGATTACGTCACTTTACATATAGTGGGCAAAAGTACAATTGGATAGTAGGAAGACAGGTACAATGTATATATCTATTGAGGATAATAAAAAAAATGTCCACGAAACAACAAATGAAATCAAGTCATCATGTCACTATTCTTTCTTGACTATTCAAAAGGAATACACAGCTATAACCTTTCTAAATTGAATTTTGACATGATTAAAACATAAACACACTGATTAAACAAATACAAAGACCAAATTTTATTCATTATTCAAAAGAAATACTAACTAGCGTAATCAAACATGTGAAGAGATTATTGTACATACAAACTATAGTGACATTTAATTGTTAGTTAATTCCTTTTTTTAAAAAAAAAATGTCACATCTAACTAAATTGAATAAAATCAATTACATTGAATTAATACAAAACATAGGAATATTTTCTATGTTATACTGAACGAAATTCTGATAGAACAGTGAGAAGACGTAATTGATCTGAAAAATGTTGTGATGTATTTCGAACAATCTGGTCACATATATTTACTTGTCAAGGCATTTTATATGAAGATGAATAAAAGGTCAATTAAATAATAGTTCAAATAGACTGTAAGGTGATAATTGTGAATGTGAAGGAGAGAGAAAATTAACGTAATATGAAAAGAATAAGAAGGGGTATAAAAGCTTACTGCATATCTCATATTAACATGAAATGAATACAATGCAGAACAGCTATTACATAATTGTTAGACTGAATTAAAACAAAGAGTATATTGATTATTCACGTTTTTTTTTAAATATAGATGAATATTATCATCAATTGCAAAACAAAATTGACTTCTTTTTTTCAGGCAGAGTTTCGGAGGTTTTGTGTCTTTGCACTATTGAATTCATCAATCAATCATTGTTAGACTACCATTAGAAATCTGGAAGCACTGGACGGCCGTCAAGTCCTGGTATGGGATTCATCAGCAGTGCGCATCCACGACTCCTGCACCTCGCAGGATTCGAACCTAGGACCTTCGGTATTGTACGCGAACGCCTAACCATTGGACCACTGGGCCGGCATCCAACAGTGTTAATATCTAACTCTGATTGATCTAGGGATTTTTGCGCGACCTCACCCATTTGTCTTTGGTAGTTACTGCCTACACCCGACAGGGTTGAACTCGATTGGTCACGTCTTCTCAACTATAACTCTGAGAATTTCCTTACGATTGAGATTGACTTACTATTGATAAAACTTTAGTTTCAAAAATGTGTAACTTAACAATCTCCACAACCCCGTAATGCAAATTACCTGTGCTCACTAGTGACTAGCTTCGTGAAGAATCTTCTCCGAGTTCTAGTGACCAGTGAAGTTCTACCTGTGCGTCTAGGTTTCTAATGGCGGTCTAACATTGATTGATTCATGGTTTGAAAAATGTAAAACTTTAGCCGTGCGTCTCGCCAACAGGAATCCAACCAAGGAACTATGGTCTCACACGCGAACGCCTAACCTCCAGACCACTAACTTTCGTCAATCCAAGGTACCGCTCAACCTCAGCCATTGGCTTCAACAGGTTTTAACTCCGCTGGTCGCTTGTTGGTAAAACAACATATTAGATTTTAGATACCCAGAAAGATGAGAGAGACTTAGCTTTTGATATCAATAACGAGTTGTTCCATGATATGAAGTCTAAATCAAATTATGAAATGTCAAAATAACCTGATGCATAATTTAACCGGTATCTACAAATGTGTTTATCATAAGGAAAGATTCCAACGTTTAAGATGGAAACTTTCAGATTACTTAATAAAGTCACGAACCTGTATCATTTAGACATCAAAATACATATTCAGCTTGCTGTAAGTTTGATGGAAGTAACCAGAGTTAATCCTTGAGATCAGATTTTGTTTAGATAACATGGTACATTTGACGAACTGCGGTTCCTTGAATAATTCAAATATACAACTATTAATATCATATTAATAATACTGTATCACAATAGATAGATTGATCGATAGATAGATAGAAGCCTTTTTTCAGCAATAGTTATATCAAAATGGATCATGTTTCATATTCAAAATTGTATTGATTTTTTTACAGGACAAAAAAAATGCATTCACAAGTGATTACATTATATTTAGTACATGTTGACCAGTGTGTGTAAAATATATATCTGTGTGTGTGTGTTTGTATGTATGCACAGGCAATCAGTCAAAGTGATTGGTTCACAGTGAATTTTGGGTAAATGAACAATCAGGTGATATAGTCAACAGTATTAACAAAAGTCCTAATAATATGACGACTATTAGTATCATTCAACTATGAAATACCTGAACACATGCCTGTGTTTTTTTTGCAAGGATTTTCGTTAATTTCCTTTTTCAATCAAACTTAATCAATGCATATATATGAATGTATATACAATAAATGAGTAAGTATCGATTGTTATTTTTTACACTGATTTATTGAACACTTTTTATATGATGTGTATTAATAGATTGTGTAATTAGGGATTTCTTAGCTTCCACCCTTTTGATAACTTTATGCAAATACTTTATTATATATAATATGAAAAAAATTTTGGCAAACTTCATAAACTAGATTAAGACAATTTTTGTTGATTTTTTAGAGACTTGATAAATTGTAATTCACTAAGAAATTCAGGTACGTGTATTTCGTTCTATATGTGGCCCATTAAGCAAGATATAAATTTGCCATGGTGTACACAGGATAATTCTAATCTTTTTTGTTAAGTTTACAGGAATTTTATCGATATTCAGTATTGAATATTGAAACTATGACTTGTACTGGACAAATATTTCGTTCAGTGTTGAAACTCTCCATCTATTTGAAATCATCTTTAAGTAGTGATAATAAGGTGGCGTTATAAATACCGACGAAAACTGATCGAAATTCAATTTTAAGTAACCGCCACATACTTACTAATGATATGAAGAAAACAATGTTATTTTTGTCAATAGTAGTGATGAGTGAAATGTGAATCGAAATTTATAACGTCATTGTTTGTGAAGTATTCCATAGTGTCAAAAATGATACCAGGTATGAATTGGTTAATTGTATTTTTATAGAGCTGGTATTTCAGATAAATAAAATTAACCACCATGATGTGGAATAACCTCTCCTAACAACTGTCACCATTCACACAATATCAGATCTTAGTGTCTACAATGTCAAGTCACCTGAACTGGTGACTACCTTGCAATTTGACAGATAGAATTCTATGAGCACTAAGTAGGACTTAACGCATATGACATAGGTAACTAGTCTGTGACCGATCATTTGTACACTTCACATTATATTATCAAAATATTCTTCATCAGCAATTTATGTGTCTTTTTCTCCCTTTGAATACTTGATATCAATTTTAATGAATGTCATTTGAATATAAAAACAACTGAGCTTACACAGAGTAATCATTCACTTAATCAATAAATCATGTCAAGAAAGAGAAGACTGTAGATTTATCAGTCGTTTCATGATAGATTTATTCACCTTCATCTTTGATTAATAATTACTGATGATAGTTAGTATGTATAACAACACAGTTTGATTATCATGAACAATTGCATAATCTTTTATATTGGACACAGTTGATTTTTTTTTGATCGAAATTTAAACAAATCGACTATTTCATTTTGTTTGAATACGTCACGTTGAATTTCTAACCTCCTGCTGCTTTCCACGGGAATTTTTTTATTTACGTTTGACTATTGAACAGCAAACCAATATGAGTAGAAATTTTACTTTCATGGTTACCTCAAAGATAAAATTAACAAGGCAATTTATAGGTTTATGTATGTCTTTAATGTTATATAAGCTTCTAGTTATGTGCCGAAATCGGTATACAGTAAACACAAGATCTATGATACATAATTCATTGTTTTTCTAATGCTCTCTGAGAATTTCTCAGTGTTAGTAGGAGAGTGGAAGCTACTGAGCTTCAGTTACAAGGTCAACTTTAATATTAGAATGTAAGTACATCCAGTTGACGAGTTCCAGATGAAACGAAGAGCGTGTTGTAGATTTCATCGCTACCCGCTTTCCACCTATCCTATAAAAACATGTTATCTAGGCCACCATTTCCTAAACAGAACTAATCAGAATTCAATTTTTTTTAAATATCAACAACCATACCGTCCAAAACCATTACAAATCGAATTATTCTTCATCAATATTCTTTCTTAATCTTTGTTCAAAATATCGAACAAACGCTAAGTTATTTAATTAGTTATCAGGAAAGTTTGATTTTTTTTACCTCAATTTCCCATCACATCTCATTGTAATCAAATGTATGGGAATGTTCCAACCAACAGATTCTTCTCATCGAATGAATATTTCCAGCAACACCAACGAAAAAACCTGAATTCCATTTAAACATGTTTTAAAAATGTGTACTTTTAATAAATCACTCTTTCTAAAGAAAAAAAAAGTGATTTGATTGGCTCAATTTACAATGACACAAAAAAATGCAATGATCAATGACATTTTTGCGTATTTTTAAAATTGAACACATTGAAATTCAATTTTCAATGTGAAAAAAAAGAAGAACATAGGAAAGAAAGAACATACCGGTGGAATGTGTAAATTCACAAACGATAGGAAAATAATTTTTAGAGAAAAAAAAATGGAATAGAGACGAAAGTTCATAGTGAATAAATCGTTTCAGTCTTCATTCTATTTGAAAGATGAACTGATAGTAGTAAAAATGACACACTACAATTATTTCATTTATGAAAAGTGAACATAATGAAGAGGAGAGAAATGGCAGTTTTCTTTTTATTTCAGAAAAATAGTTCTATACAGAGAAAGTTAACACCTATTTCTGTCATGGACAAATATTCAACAGCTGACCAATATTTTTTTCTATGGAGAATTCTTGACATGCATACATACAGTACGCTCGTTACCCCTAATGTAACATAGGTCTAAAACAAGCATTTTCCAACCAACTCTGACCTGCACTTTCTTTTCCATTTATGCCTAATTGCTAATGATTGTATTTCATGTCTGTTTCCAATTCTTGGAGTCATGTGTTCTATGATCTTGATGAATTCCAAGTTAGGGCGTGTTTTGAGACGCAGTTGGGTACTTGCCTCAATGTCTAGTAAGTTCTTTAACAAAAAAATCTACTGTAATATACAAGTAACTGTCCAATCACTAAATGCTGATCAAATACTATTGACTGTGTTATCACTAATCTGAACGAACAGATATTGTATGGGTTAAGTTTAGATACTAAGTGGTTGTAGGTAGTCTGTAAGAAACTTTTGAATAATTTTTCATGATATTTGATTTAGTCTTAAACTTATGTAAGCTTTCAATCATTTTACAACTAGTATGTAATTTATCTATTCAATTCTCAACTTTTAGGTCAGTACCACTTCATTATGTCTATGTTTGTATTACCAATGAAGTCACATTTATTTCATCATGTGTAGTATCGCTTATCGCTTTTATTCTTCCTTTTTTTAATCGTCTTTGTTAATTATTTAATCATTAATCGATCACTGTTAGACCATCTTTAGAAATCTGGAAGCATCGAATAGCCGTTTAGTCAACAAGAGGGGATCGAACCAGGAACTGTAGGGTACGCGCGCGAATGCGACCACTGAGCTGGGGTCGTAGATACGCACTGATGATGAATCCCATACTAGGACGAAGCGCCCATCCAGTGCTTCCATATTTCTAATGGTGGTGTAACAATAAATGATTCATGATTTCAATAAACTACCTCTTGTCTTCTGATTGAACTCACAAATACAGAATAATATCATTGAAGAGTAGTTCTAGACTATGTCAACATATACAATCGAGTTACATTCAAATCCACATTTATAAATGAGTGAATTGTAATATATATTTGAAGAATTCATAAATAATCTAATCTTTCCGTATAAGAAATTAAATTCTCTCAGTTTGTTGTGTTCTAAAACATTAGAGTTTATTGTTATGATCAGGTAAGAAGATGAGAATCTGGAGTTAGTTTATATAAACTCTAACAACTAATCTTTACCAGTTCACTTACAACTCTCCATAATCCACACTCTCCACATAACATGCACTAACCAAATCATATTTCACGGAGAATCATTGAAAGATACAGAAACTGTTACATACCTAACCTGCATTATTGATAAACAAAGGACATTTGATGCAGATGTAAAAACACCTATTAGCCAAACAAGTGTAGTACTTCTACAAATGAAGGACATTTTGGACTCAAAACAACTTTCAACGAACTCTAGGGTCAGAATTTTCAATACAAATGTCATAACAGTCCCGTTGAATAACCACGAACACCATCATCCCGAAGATACAGGTGTTTATTAACAGCTGTTTACGCGAAATACCATGGTTTCACTGGACAGATACCGTGAGCGACAACCAACTGTGGGAGAGAATTCCGACTGAGGAAATTAGGAAAAGGTGCTCGGGGTGAATAGAACACACATTGTTGAAAGCACCTAACTACATCACTAAAAAAGCCCTCACTTGGAATTCTCAAAGCCCAAAGGAAAAGAAAAAGACCAAAGAACAAATTACGTTACGAATAGGAAGCAGACATGAATAGATTAAACAGTAACTGGATAAAACTTGAAAAGAACGCTCAGGACAGAGTGGGCTAAAGAACGCTGGTCGGTGAGGAACGCTCTATTTGTGATAACAGGCGTAAGTAAGTAAGTACGTATAGTTGACAAACCAAGTAAATGGGCACATAAATCAATCACAGATACGTTTTTTCCATCTAACATAGACTAGGACATGTATTCAGAGATCTTGACTTGGAACATAACTTTCTCCAACAGCAATTCTTGTCTACATTCCCACAAACCATGTAACCTTAAAGTGGAATGATGAGCGTTGACAAGTGATATGCTTTGATTCTCCCCAGCATTCTCTATGTTTAAAGTAACACTGAAGACTAATCTAATCATACTGATGTTCATTGAAACATGATATAGTGAGCGGATCTGAAGTGACCAAATAATAAGGCTATTTAGTGCCCATAAGAAATATCCTAAAGGAGGAAAGTATATCACTGGTCAAGAAATGGATTCAATTTTCAAAGAGAAGTTGCTAGTTAGGATCAGCTGTCAGATACCACACATCATAACTGTTGGGGACGTTAGATCCCCAGAACTCACTTGATAAACGTCCTAATTTTGGATTTTATGTTTACATGCATAGGCTGGTCAGTTGACCTTGAGATTACATTTCCCGGACTAGAGTAGCCTATCGTGTCACTGGATCATTTGTCTTCGCTCTCGTTTACCGATTAAGGTGAACTAGTATCAGTTCAAGCATACTAATTGACGAGCATTACAGTAACAAAAATTCTAGCACCAAATTGCATATTTCAGTTTACTATGTGTCAATCAATTATTCATTCCTGCTACAGTTAAAATAGAA